CCATCCTGCTTAGCTGCATCTTTGTCAGCACCCTTTTCCAGCAGCAGCTGCACCACTTCCAGGTGGCCATTCTTAGCTGCCCAATGCACGGAGGCTGTACCATCTAGATTTGCCGCATCTTGGTCAGCACCGTTTTCGAGCAGGAGTCGCACCACCTCCAAATGGCCATTGCTGGCCGCCCAGTGCAGTGCTGTTGTGCCATCTTGCTTTGCAGCGTCCTTGTCTGCGCCACTCTCCAAAAGCAATTGCACCACACCTAAGCGGCCTTTCTCTGCGGCCTGATGCAAGGCTGTAGTGCAATGCTTGTTTACTGCTTCTTTGTTGGCACCATGGCCCAGCAACAGTCGCACCACATCCACATGGCCACTCTTAGCCGCCAAATGCAAGGTTGTTGTGCCATCTTGCTTTGTCACATTTTGATCAGCCCCGCTTGCCAGTAACAATCGCACAACTCCCAGGTGGCCATTTTTGGCTGCCCGATGCAAGGCTGTTGTGCCATCTTCTTCCGTCGCATCTTTTTCGGCGCCGCCCTCAAGCAGTAATTGCACCACTTCCGCATGGCCATTTCGGGCTGCCACGTGCAAAGCTGTTTGGTTGGCGCGTTCGTCTGTCGTGTTGGGGTTGTGTAGAGATCGAAGCATGCCTTCAACCTCTGCCCAACGGTTCGCCGCGCACGCATTCATAAATGCCCTGTTCGTTGGTGCATCAGATGCCTGAAAGCTTAAGATCACCAACTGCAAACTCAGTGGTGGAAACAAAGGAGCTTCATCACTTATTTCGCTCATGTCATCCTGCACGAGTCTCTGCTGAAACCTTGAGCACCCGAGTTGGCCTGCAAGGAACTCTTTAAGTGCCCTGACGGGTTTCTCGCTTTCCAGTATTGGCTGCAACATCTCCTCATCCAGTTCTGACACCAGCGCACCAGACACGGCCGAAATTTGTAGCATGACGGTCACTTCTACAGGCGCTCGTGCGCTTGGTCACTTCTGCGGTTCGGAGACAGACCGACCCTCAGAAACCACAACTGAGACGAAGCAAAGTTCATATAAATATAAAGGAATCAAACACAACTGCAGTACGCGTCGGAGGATTTGTACAACTCACGGAGACGGAATATAAATCCACATAGCCATATGTCAATGCAAGAGAGCTAAAAACAACAAATCTCTTCTACAGTATCGCATTTCTGACCCTTGCCCCCCCAAAGACAGCAACACTCCTGGCATAGTCGTAAGAATCCGATATATATATATATATATGGGTTCAACATCCTCGTGGGTCAAAGCACCTCAACGACGATCGATGCGAACGTCCAAGCTTGAGGATCGAGAGAGTTTTCTGTGTCAACCCTTCTGCGGCCAACTCCCATGGGTTGCGTGCCCTTGCTGCACAGCCAAGGCAACCAAGACAAGGGCCTAGCAGATTGTGTTGCTGATGGGTGGGCCCACTTGACATTCCACACTTACATAGATAGACTGGGTCCAAGCATTGACCCACGCTTCTGGCCAGCATGCTTGCCCTACCCCCAAGTTTAGTGTGAGAGGCTTTTTAGGCATTTTTGGCAGTTTCCTCCTCTGCTTGGGTTCTGTTCGATGGACTTCCCAAAAAAACTCGGTGACACAGTTGTGAGACGAGCTTTCCGCGCTTGGAAAAGCGGCTGGGTCGCCTTTTTTTTTCGAGTGAACCGAGGGCTGGACATCCAACAAGCAAAGTCACCACCACATATCTCTTCCGTGTTTAAATGCAAAGTCCATGCGGATAAACCACATGTCCAGACCAACGGTTGGGAAAATGGACCATGGCCCGCTTGGCCCATGGCCAATTCCAGAAAGGTAAGCTCAAACCGGGGGGCAGCTTGGCATCATGACGCCGCTGGCGAATGTTGACCAAAAGCCTCTAGCAACTTTCGATCGACTTTGCAAGCTCTTATGGACAAACGGCTGAAAGCGATTGGACGGCGGGAAACTGAGCCTTGTCCTAAACCAAACACATGTCCTTTCTTTGAGACCGATTTGCATTAGTTCCTTCAGTTCCAAGATGCTGAGCCAGCGTATCACAATCGACCTGGGGAGAAGTCCAACTCGGTTGGGCGACGAGGAGCACGGGTAGATGGTCTCTGACCTCTTTTGTAGCGAGGTTCGCCATTGGGCATCCTATGGCCCTAAAGAAACACAGACCGAGTATGTATTGTTGGGGCGAACAAATGCGAAATTACATATGCATACATATGCTATCCATCCAGCTGGGCCTCCAATCACCGAGGATTTCTGATCTGCAAAGACTTCAACATGGCGAAGAGAGTATGATTGCCTTTGGAACTGTGCTTGGGTCACCCAAAAACTCTGATTATCTATAACAACAATTGGGCTTGTTTGGGATTGCTCCTGGTCACGGATATTCCTCATCTGTCAGCGAACCTTTGCCTGCAAACACTCACAACCCTATCGGCCCTATCGCCCGAGCCACACCCAGCTGCTTCACAAAGGCTTCGGTGCCCACGGTGTCCGAGCTGAGCCTGAGCTGCAAGCTGCACTTCAACCAGATCTCCCGTAGAGTCTCCAGGCTCCTGTTGTTCTTAAGTGAAGGTACCGAGAAAAAAAATAGAAACAAAAACAATCGAAGCATCTAATCTATATTATAATCTAAATCAGCCTCTTCAAAAAAGACATGGATCTGGCTGTATAGATTTTCCCTTTGATAGCCTTGGCTGCAAACCAAGCTAATGCGGCCCTCCCAAGCTTTTCTAAGCAACATGTCATCCACTTTGACTGCTTCATGATCGCGATATCTGAAGGCAATCCTTATTGGATACACTCAGCGCAAATGCTCTCCGACGATCTCTGCACCCACACACTGTAATGGTTACTTCAGTCAAAGTGTTGGCCAAGCTTCTTCATTTGCAAGGCGCCTTTTGCTCCTGTTCATGCTTTGAACTGGGTTGGACTTGTTCCAATATACACATGCACCATAGTCAAAGTCAGCTCACGCTTGGGCTTGGATGACATTGATGAACAACAAAATGACCATGTCAGTTTTGCACCCTCTTGGATGCCTGAAACAATGGTATACAGTATACTCTAATCCTTTCGGCCTGCTCCCACAGTTGTCACCATTAACCCAGCCAATGGCTGTATTGGGAAGCGTGGAAAGTTGCGATTTTGTTTAACACAAATCCACACCATTGCATGTCGACAAGCATTCACGTTCTGCCGGAGGTCGGGCTGCCTGCAGAATTGATGGCTGAACTGACTGTTGTGCCTTCCAAAAATGATTTGTAGATTGGCACTCCGTTAAAGGCAATGCCACGACCTACTTCTGCGGTGTGCGCATCAGCATGCCTGAAGCTTGGCCCTGCAGGCTAGGAAGGCTGGGTCTTTCAAAATCAAGTGGTGAGGCCAAGATATGTCCTGTTGAATCCTTTCTTTTGATGGAAGGTTTTGCCTTTTGCCTTGGGATCATCAAGTATTATATAATATGGTGTATGTGTATATATGTATACCAATTATATATGCAGAGAGAGATACATACAATGCGTATATGAGTCACTTTTAAACTTGACTTAGTTGTCGTATTGTTGGATTTGCTCGTGAGCTCATGTGAGAGTACGACAACTATCAATTTCTATGTGAGGTCCACAACCAGCATCTTCAAGTGTACTTCTGCAAAGATGTTGCTTTAGATTGATGGGGCCTCCGGCTGCCTTTAGAAATGACCACCACGCCCGGATTGCTGAGTCCTGAGACCAAACCCCAGAAAAGGATGGCAGAGCATGCCAGTGCTGCGAAAGGCTGCATCTTGATCCAAGCGAGGGTGATCACAGCCTGGAGATCAGAGCGAGTGCCAAGATGTCCCAAGTGCCTCTAGACTCTAGACATGTCAAGAAAAAGGAGACCAACTGCCGTGTCCGGCAAACACCAACCAGTTTCTTGACCTGGCATGCTGCCCAGCTACACCAGAGCAAGACACCATAGCCGTGCCGAAGCACCAGAAAATGCGTGTTCTCTTGAGTCTGTGCATGCAACCACGTGAGGTTGTCTGAAAGTTAAGCTCATGTTCCGTCCTTTGGCCTTATCGTTCTTTTCCTTCCTGGTCGTTTTGCCGTGCTTGGACTAGCTGCAGCATTATATACATTTGTGGGCGCAATGCCTTCGTGCAGTGTCAAACCTGAGACTTCATGACGCCATGGCGCAAACTTCATGACGCCATGCCGCACAGCGTGCCGTGCATGTGTGGGCCATTCATGGTTTATGAGTGGTGTACGGGAAGGTGCTAGAAGGGCTCCTTGCGTTAGCATGCTTCTTTCCGCTCATTTCTTATGGGTTATCGAAATGGTGCCCGGTGCACACAACGGTTCCTATGCACTTGAGAGGAGGGAGACACGAAAGGTAGGACAGCGGGAAGAGAAGAGAACGCGAGAGGCAGGAACAAAAATGCAATGTTTGACATGGCGATTTATCCCCTCGGAGGCGACCGTTCGTAAATATAATTTCATATGCACTCTAAATGTTCAAACATATGCTCTCGAAATGCTCAAACAGATTCTTAGGAAAACAAACTTGCCCCATGCACTCTTTCTCAATGTTCAAGAGGGTTTCAACTATCCTGAAATCATGAGAGGCTCACGAAAACGTTCTCGAGGAGAGAATTGAATTTAGAGAGGGGGGGGGGTCGGTATTGAAAAATCAATTCCCCGGGAGGGGGGGGGGTCTGTATTGAGAAATCAATTCGAGGGGGGGCGGGGTTGAATTGAATGATCAATTATTAGCCCCGGACGCCAACATTTGCTTCGTAAGAGAAACTCTAGGTATCCCCTTAAGGGCTACCTTTCGTGACAAACACAAATCTGAGGTCAAGCATATATGAAGGGTCCATGTGCTGGGCATTATTCGTCGTAAAACCGGTGGATAGATCAGCGGACAAAGCGGGCCTGCGAGGCATGGTCGATGCTCTCTCACGCGCATTTGGACCATCAAACTCGGCCAATCCAACACCGAAGCGAGAGAATGGCTCTGCTCCACCCTGGCTGCACGGCCTTCCGTTGTCGGCTTCTCCCGGTTCCGAGCGGCTGCTGATGCATGCCGTCCGCTGCTTGTCTCATGGAGCCGTCGGGTCCTCGTAGACCCAGGCTGGTGCCCAAAATGTTCACGGAGGCCACAACTGAGACGCAAGCCTCGGTGTATTGGGGCCTTGTTGGTTGGATCAGCGGTCTTTGTTTGTTTCCTATGGCCTCCAGTTTGGGTGGACGGACGTGATTCCATATTGTTGCCATGGGTCAAACGTCTTCCAACAACTTGGTTGCTTTGAACCTTGCCATGTTAGTCGTTGCACACTTGCCGGCACCAGGACCTTGACCATTTCTTTCCGGCCCACTATGCAAATGCACATGCGAGCCAATGCATGCCAAGGCACCAAATTTCCCATGAGATTCACCACTGCGAATGCATAATAGAGGGCCATTAGGACTGGATTGATGGAATCTGGAACATCAATCTTGGCCTCAGCTGACTCGCACTGCCTGCAGCCGGTTACAGTGTTTTGCGAGCCTCCACCATTTCAGTGGAATTGAGTGGATGGTGTGCAGAAAGGGTGGCTCGCCGGCGCCCTGTCTCCACCACGCGCACAGCCAGCTCACAGCACCCAGCACCAGCACCACAGCCCGCACCAGCACCCGGCACCCTGCCCCCACCAGCTGCACAGCCAGCTCACAGCACCAGCACCGGCACCCGGCACCAGCACCCGGCACCAGCGCCGGAAGACAACTGTCCCTCGAACTCACTGTAGCCCGACCCCGTCTGACCGAGGCACGAGCATGCACACGGCAAAGCCTGCTAGAACAGCTGCTTGGGTTCCCACAGCTTCGAAGTTACTCTGGTTCAGCTCCAGCTCCTGGCTCCGCGAAGGCTGATCGTGGCCGACACTGGGTAGGAGGAGAAACGCGCTGCATTGATGGCTGCGATGGTTCTCTATGGTTCTATGTTGTTCTGGTAGCCGCCAACATCTAGGAGTGATTTCATACCTGGGTGCCACACATGCCGATGAAGTTTTGTTGAGCTTGCAGCTCTCCTTGCCCTTCAATGCAGTGGCATTCTTCTTGATCAAGCCTCACAATGCAAAGTGCAAACAGCACCATGTGGACACTTTGAGTTATTGCTGGCCCTTCCTTCGAACTGCCCAGAAGAAACAGCACCAGTGACAGGGGGGTTTTCAGCCGAGGCACTGGTAAGTTCCAGCTTGTCTGCCTCAGCTCTGCCATGGTCTGCCCTTTGAGTTCAATGAGCCTTACCATCCCTTACGCCTGCATGCACCCCTTTGGTTGTGTTGGGCATATGGCTGGGTTGGTCCTAAAGTCACGAGGAGCACACTGTTGAGAAGCAACAGCTTTGACACTGGTGGTGGGTTTGATGAAGTGACTCGACAGCTGTGCTTCCCCAAAGCCTGCTGCCAAACGGAAAACCTGCTGCCAGCTGTGCTTTTGGACTTCTGGACATTTGCCAACACACTTTCACTGCTACTCTCACCACATCTAGTGATTTGGGACCTTGCTGCCAAACTCATCGACCATGCAGGATGGCACAAAGACATCTTTGGGGTTAGTATGGGTAAGTGCCATCTGCCCTGAGACCCATGTATATAAGTCCTGGACGCTGGCTTTGGAGCTAGGTGCAAAGCCAAGGCGCTGCCAGCATGATTTATTTCACTGTGCGGTTCCGCGCGTTCGGCAGCATCAGCCCAGCGCATCGGCCCAACGCATCGGCCGATGTTCTCCAGCGAAGCTGAAAAGAAACAGCCTCCAAAATTTTGATGTAGAATAATTCAGCTCTAAGCTGTAAGAGTAAGAGTGAGTCGGGACTTCTTCTTCTTCTTCTTTGTGTTGTCCCCCCACTGTGGAGGCCTTTGCCGAAGTTTTCCTTGAGCAAATTGTCTGCAACATATATGGAAGGGATATATAAATGTCTTTGAACTGGTCGCCCTTCTCTCAAACAAATCCTTCCTAGGATCAAAAGCCGCCCCTTTCCACCTTAGCGCAAGCTCCTCGTCAGGCCTCCCTGCATTGCATCGCAATGAACCGGCCGATACTTGAAGCTACAAATCACGGATGGAACATGTATGGATTGACATGCCGAGAAAAGTGAAATTCACACTCCTCTACAATCTTTAAAGTGGCATTCAATCCCTTCCATCGGCCGTGGATTTCTCAACCACGATATCCAAAAGCATGGGATTTTGCTTTGGGCTTTGAGGTAGGCTTTGCCTCCTGCTTGACTTCAGACCAATCTTCTTCATCTGTATGGATCTGGTACTGGTCCGCTAGCCCACTAAGCTCCATCACCATGGAAGGATCTGCACCAAATTCGCGAAGCATCACTTGGAGATACTTCTGCTTCCACACTGGAAACTGGAACAATTTCCGGGCCCCCTCATGACTCAGCTCAGCGATCGCTGCATGGTATTCCGGGTCCTCCGGAACAAAGGGCTTCGGCAGCTCTTCCTTCACCGATGCAGAGGGTCCATCTTCATCTTTGGCCTCATCGTGCTCAAGAAAGAGAGACCTAGCGCCATTCTGCATGATCTGGCGGAAGGCCTCGCCCCAATGCTCATGACCTTTTGTCAACGGCACAGCTTGATTGTCACGAATCACCTCTGCATACTTCAGAAGAACTTCTTTGAGGGTGTCCTCTACATGGTCAATGAACGCAGCTCCAGCATTAAGAGTGATCATGCCGGTCGACTTCGAGTAAGTCATGGTGGTAGTGGCATTCTCCCCACGAAAGCGGTGACCATCAATCACCGACAGAGGAATGCGAATCTTGCATGTTGCTCGGGACTGACTCACATTCTTTGCGTAGTCATCAGCATTCAAAGCCACTTGACTTGCCATCACCTCAAACAGCGCACGGATTTCCTTCTCTGTCAAGCCTGAGGTGTTCACTTTCACCATGGTCTGCTTGGCCACGACTGATTGAGCTTGCACAAAAAGGATGCTTGAACCACCTGAACATGTTTCGGAACGTTCTTTGCGCAGTCTCTTTTGTTCGGCAGCCAGTTCCATGTTCGCACTTTCTGAACTCATTTGGTATTGGTTGTTTTGCATTGCTCCTCGCAAATTGTCCATGGCATCTGCATTTTCTTTAGATAGAGCATCAGCTAGTTGCAACCATGTTGGAACCCATCGAATACGACCTTGAACTCTAGTCAGCAAATCTCTAATGATGACCAAATCAATTGCAACACGTTTGTCCGACACGCTGCTGGGTGAAGCAAAAGTTTGTAAATGATCGAAAATCGATTTGCAATCCGTCACAGCCTGAATCCCTAACTCTTGCAAAAACTCCGTTCTAGCTTGAAGCGAAAAATCAAAATGCTTTGCCTCCATGAGCATACAACCCAACCACTCTGCATGACCGAGAGCATCTGATAAAACCTGTGTCTCACCTGCAAATGTACTTCCGACCACCCGTTTCAACCGATAGCTTTTTCAGGTCGCTGGAGACCAAGGTGCAGCTTTTCCGGCTTCTAGGTTTGTATCTGTCATGCCAACGATGTATCCGGCCTGTGTGCCACATTTCTTGGCGTTTCCAAAAGCCGCATCGCTGTGCACGCACATTCTCAACTGGTCAAAAGGAATTGGGAGAATTTTCCAGGTTGCATTGCGGAACTGCTTGGCCCTTCTCACAACATTGCCTGTGCTTGTCCAAGAGTCGGTTTCGGCAGCATCTGTTGACCCTGACTAACCTGTACTGCTAAATCCGGTCTAGTTTCTTTGGCCAGCCACAATGCTCCACCTAGCACAGATTTCAGCGACGATGCTTCCTCGTCGGTCACCTCAAAATTCGGGTCGGCCTTGTTCCTAAGTTTCGGGCGACTGAGCTTGCCCACAAACTCTTGTTGTCCGACTGTGATTGTCCCATCTTCGGCTTGTGAAATGTACGATCCACAAAATGTACCTTCTCTAATCTTCCACTTACGAAATGGGGATGCTTGTCTGAGTCGGGACAATGTCTGCTCGAAGTATTGTCCATGACCTCCAATGAGCACGTCATCAACATGAACCCCCAAAATTCCAGCCAATGTAGTGCTACCCTCAACACTTTCCCAAAGGTGGTATACGCAGGGATCTAGTTTTGACTGTGTCCACTGAAGTTCCTCAACTGTGTCCTTAAACTTACTGTACCACATTTGAGGGGAGTCATTCAGTCCGTACATGGGCTTGATGATCTCAAACAACTGCTCCTCCTCATAGTCCGGAAACGGACCATTTTTAGGTTGAGCCATGAACAATCGGCCTCGTTGTCTCCCGATGGCGTCTGCCTCCAGGAATGCCCCAGTGACATCGCCCAGCTGCATTGTGAACCCCTTGCTTGCCATTGTCTGCAAAACAACGAATCGCCCGTTTGTAGAAATGGTCGGGGATTGGGTTTTACCTTCACGGATGAGGTCAAACAAATCTGGGTCTTTGTCTCCACGGGCTGTCCATCTGGCTTTGACAATCTCTTCGCCGCTATCTTCGACTTTGGTGGTCAGGACTAGTCGGCTGGGCACTATTCTGTCAGATAAATCTCTTTTGACTTGTCTGGATTCCTGCACTGACAGAGGCTTCAATGCTCCCTTGTCTTGAATGACATTCTTTGTCTCTTTCCTAATACCGGCTATCAACTTTGCTCTACCAGTTGCAGTTTGCCATTTGCTGTCCTTGAGATCTATCTCATTTCGACCGCCAGCCAGCAGACATTCTGTCGAAGTGCAAACGAAAATGAAGTCATCCTCCGTCTCTGCCTTGTCTGAGAAAGCAACAGCTTGACTAGTTGAATCTTTTGGCTCAATGAACAATGCTTCTGAGTTTGAGGAACTGGAAGTAGATGATGAAGTAGCCGAACTGCTTTGTTCAACCTGTGGGGGTATTGGCAGAGGCGGTGGGTACTGCTGACCACCAACGGTCTGTCTCATCCGCTTCGGTTCCGGCCTCAGCGTCCCGTGGTCTGGGATGACCATCGAGTCGGTCAGCTCTCTGTACTGACTCTGGGAGTGCCTCTCTTTCTTGGTGGGACAGTCTGCTAACAGTGTCCTGGTAACTGGAGATGGTTTCTGGAGCAAGAGAGGTCACTGACTCAATGGTCTCTGGAGATCGATGACTTGCACCGTCAGACACCGGAGCGCTTGGCTGGTCTTCAGCCTCTGGTCTGCAGTCTGGCATCATTGCTGGTTCAGGGGTTAACAGGTCACCTGGGGGATGATCATCCTGGGTGATGTCCATGAACTGTTTTTGAGTCTTCCCTGATGCCCCAACCTCTGGATACAATTGCACTGCTGCAGGCTTGAGATCCCTCACCAAGAACCGGTCAGCCTCTCTTTCTTCATGGGTCCGAAGGCGAAGCTGTTCGGGGGAACACTTAATGAAAGCACCTGGCATAGCCACCCAAAAATTTCCTCCGGCTGCACCTGCTACAATACCTGGTCCTCGCCAACGTGCCATGGATTTCTTGATGCCGCGCCCTCGCCTCCAGACTGCTACCTCATCGCCAGCCCGAAACTCCCTGAGAGGTCTAGGCCTCGAGTTCAAGGCAATACGAGCAGCACGATGGCCGAGAGACTCCAGCACCGACTGGCGAGCACACAAACGCGCCCGGTTGCTGTAGTCAGCAATGGCGTCTTCCAGGATGGCACCGTTGGAGATAGGGTTAGCATTGTCAGACAACAAGTCATCACCGGGAACCTCTGGGTCTCTGCCAAACACCAGTTGGTGCGCGCTGTAACCTCCCCGCCTCATCAGACTATTCTTAGCTTCAGTCGTCACATCTACGCACTCCGACCATTGATGATAGTCTTCTGCGGACATTTGTTCCAGCACTCGTTTCAACATGGTCTCAAAGTGCCTTCCTTGAACCTCCACGTCGCCCATCTGTTCATGAGCCTCTCCAGGAATGTCTAACGGAGTTGTGCCATCACGTTCCAACAAATCTAGAAACTGTTGTCCTAAGTTGCATCTGCTGGCATCAAACTTCACATACCTGGGTCGCCCAAAACATCGGGTCCAGTTGCGATACAATCGGCAAATGACGTCCGAGTTCTCAGTCTCCCTGAATGGATACACATGTTGGAGTCCTGAAGACCTACACACCACATTGAGAGCCTTCACTGGATGGTCCTTTTTCCAACCTGGAAACTGTTTGACGTCTATCCCGACATATCGCAAAGGTGCTAAGTCTCTCGGAACACTGCTCTGCTTTACCGCTCTAGGTGCCCGTTTCGCGTCACACAGGTCACATTGAAAGGCCTTGACCTGCTCCAAAACGCATGGCTGTGCACTATGGTGCTTGAGGATCCGCATCATGTCTGTTTGTGAAGCGTGTCCCAAATTCACATGAAGCTTTCTAATGGCATTGAAAACACGAGCAGTGTCTGTCTTCTCACCTACTTTGTACTGGACGTCAGCCTGACTGATTGCTAAACACAACTGTTCCTGATGCTCATTTGCAGCAAAACCACACAAAATTCGTCTGACTAGTTTGTGAGGATATCCCTGAGTAATCACCGACCGCAACTGGCCTTGAGCGGTGCCTTCAACTCGCTGATGTTCATGTTGTCCGTCGCACTGCAGCTTTGACATCTCCATCGCAATCCCCCCAGCATTGGTAAGGAAGGACCATTTCTTGCCAAACAGCTTTCGTGTCGAAGGATCTCGGAGACCAACAGCGCAGGCCGGGATGTCCAGCCAGTAGCCTCCACTTTCCTCAAGGAGTTTCTTCACACATGGCTGCTTCCATGTTTCACTTGTC